TTTATCATTTATCACTGATAATATCACATTTTTGGATCATTTTTTGCATATGGTAAGGAAAGTACTGTAGGAAAAGCTGTGTGAATTTCTATCGCTCTTTCTCTCATTATAAGTGATCTACAGGCTTTTCTAGTTCTATTGCTCGGTGCAATTGGTAGATCCCTCGCTGCAGCAGTCGATCGATTTTTCATCGGCACATGCCATTGCTGCCAATTCTTACCTAGAATGGCATTTTTGCTTCAACTCGCTTCACGCCGAAGCCAAGGGCTGAAATTCTGCACCTATATGGAAGATGAACGTGGAAATCGACCGCATGAATTTAAGCCATTCTTATCTGTCGTTGTCATTGATATCATCATTTTATCATTTATCACTGACGACACAAAATTGAATCATTTTTGATATAAAATAAGAAATGTACTTTGAGAAAACGCTGTGTGAGTTTTTATCGCTCTATCTCTTATAGTACAAAACCATTCACAGAACATGCAAAATTTCCGGGAATTCCGCGAAATTCATGTGAATCACGCAAATTACGCAGAGCCATAACTTCTTTCCAAATGAGTATATTCAAAGTCCGAAAACAACGTTGTATTCAGCTCGTCAAGGCGAATCTTTATATACAGGTTGTCTCCAATATTTTGTTTTCAATAATCATGAATTTGCATGCCGACGCCTCTTCGCATGGGTGTAACGCAACAAGCATCACACATAGGAGACTGCCATGGGCACCGTTCGATAGTACTCTTTCACTAGATTATCGCGCGCTAAACAGCAGCCGAAGACTCTCTTTTAAAAGAGATAAAAGAGCTGATAAACTCTGGAAAAATCAAGCTGTTCCAATCTACTAGCCGTAACTTTCTTTAGAATGAACATTTTCGAAATCAGAAAGCAGATTTGTGTTCATCTTGTCAAGTCGAGTCTTACTGTATACAGCATGTCCTTGAAATTCCGTTTTCAATTTTTTCAAAATTTTCTGCGCGCGTATGTTCACAAGGTCGCAACGAAGCGCACATCAAACATAAAAGACGCTATTAAGCACTGTTGGATTGTGCTGCTTCCGCAGATTATCGAGCGCTAAGAAGCAACCGGAGAATCTTCTTGAAAAAAGATAGAAGAGCTGGTGAATTCTGGAAAATCGTGTTGTCTCAAATTTTGCCCACAGTGACCCTAAAATGAGAAGCTCTACTGTTAAGCAGATGCGATTTTCGTAATCAGCAGGTCAGATAACCTCTATGAGCAAGTTTTCAAAGAAATTTGGGTGATTTGATTTTTTCTCGTTCTACGCCCTGAAGCTCGCCGATGGGTTTTGGTCAAAATGTCGATGACCTTGAATTGTAAAGAAACTCCGCCCAAAGAGGTTTTCGAACACGCTGTTTACGAAAATAGTGGTCTTTGAAGAAGACAGGGTCTTTTTGTAGAGATATTGTGAGGTGACTGTAACTGAGTCACGAAAGTTCGTAAATTTGCCTGCACTTTTCGCGAATTTGTCAGAAAACTTGCTTGCTTGCTTTTCCAAATCAAAATCACTGGGAACTGTGCTATCAAGAGGTGCATGCTCAGGCTCCAGCCTATAAAGTTCGCCGAGTTACGAGCCTACGAAGACACGTCCTCATGAATTTCGCTCAAAATGTAAAGATCGCGTATTTCGTCAAAATTCCACCCTCAGTGGTTGTATGACGTACTGATCAAATCTGTTCACATTGGTTAATGATCTTAATGTGCTGGATTTGGAAATTAGGTAGATCTGAGCTCAAGCTACGAAGGTGCTTGGATATTTAAATGAGCAGCTGAAGAACGCGCGACCACCATATTCACATCAATGGGATATCTTAGGCGACGTGAGCATATGCAATCAGAATGTCATACAACCACTGAGGGTGGAATTTCGACGAAATACGCGATTTTTACATTTTGAGCGAAATTCATGAGGACGTGTTTTCGTGGGCTCGTAACTCGACGAACTTTATAGACTGGAGCCTGAGCATGCACCTTTTGATAGCACAGTTCCCAGTGATTTTGACTTGGAAAAGCAAGCAGGGAAGTTTTCTGACAAATTCGCGAAAAGTGCAGGCAAATTTACGAACTTTCATGACTCAGTTACAGTCACCTCACAATATCTCTACAAAAAGACCCTGTCTTCTTCAAAGACCACTATTTTCGTAAACAGCGTGTTCGAAAACCTCTTTGGGCGGTGTTTCTTTACAATTCAAGGTCATCGACATTTTGACCAAAACCCATCGGCGAGCTTAAAAAAATAAAATCGAATCACCCAAATTTCTTTGAAAACTTGCTCATAGAGGTTATCTGACCTGCTGATTACGAAAATCGCATCTGCTTAACAGTAGAGCTTCTCATTTTAGGGTCACTGTGGGCAAAATTTGAGACAACACGATTTTCCAGAATTCACCAGCTCTTCTATCTTTTTTCAAGAAGATTCTCCGGTTGCTTCTTAGCGCTCGATAATCTGCGGAAGCAGCACAATCCAACAGTGCTTAATAGCGTCTTTTATGTTTGATGTGCGCTTCGTTGCGACCTTGTGAACATACGCGCGCAGAAAATTTTGAAAAAATTGAAAACGGAATTTCAAGGACATGCTGTATACAGTAAGACTCGACTTGACAAGATGAACACAAATCTGCTTTCTGATTTCGAAAATGTTCATTCTAAAGAAAGTTACGGCTAGTAGATTGGAACAGCTTGATTTTTCCAGAGTTTATCAGCTCTTTTATCTCTTTTAAAAGAGAGTCTTCGGCTGCTGTTTAGCGCACGATAATCTAGTGAAAGAGTACTATCGAACGGTGCCCATGGCAGTCTCCTATGTGTGATGCTTGTTGCGTTACACCCATGCGAAGAGGCGTCGGCATGCAAATTCATGATTATTGAAAACAAAATATTGGAGACAACCTGTATATAAAGATTCGCCTTGACGAGCTGAATACAACGTTGTTTTCGGACTTTGAATATACTCATTTGGAAAGAAGTTATGGCTCTGCGTAATTTGCGTGATTCACATGAATTTCGCGGAATTCCCGGAAATTTTGCATGTTCTGTGAATGGTTTTGTACTATAAGAGATAGAGCGATAAAAACTCACACAGCGTTTTCTCAAAGTACATTTCTTATTTTATATCAAAAATGATTCAATTTTGTGTCGTCAGTGATAAATGATAAAATGATGATATCAATGACAACGACAGATAAGAATGGCTTAAATTCATGCGGTCGATTTCCACGTTCATCTTCCATATAGGTGCAGAATTTCAGCCCTTGGCTTCGGCGTGAAGCGAGTTGAAGCAAAAATGCCATTCTAGGTAAGAATTGGCAGCAATGGCATGTGCCGATGAAAAATCGATCGACTGCTGCAGCGAGGGATCTACCAATTGCACCGAGCAATAGAACTAGAAAAGCCTGTAGATCACTTATAATGAGAGAAAGAGCGATAGAAATTCACACAGCTTTTCCTACAGTACTTTCCTTACCATATGCAAAAAATGATCCAAAAATGTGATATTATCAGTGATAAATGATAAAATGCTTATATCAGTGATAAGGGTAAATAAAAACTGCCCAATTTTTCGCGACAGTTTTCGATAACGAAAACTTCTTACCAGAACCTGCTATTCGTGATTTACGCTGTGATAAATGTTCACAAAAGCCTTAACATAGAGAACAACAAGTTATCATTGTAAGGTCTACCTCACCACGAATTACGGACATACTGTATATCAAACGATTCGTCTCATCAAGCTGAAGCCAAATCTACACGCAGATTGCAAATAAAGTGGATTTAAAAGAAGTTATAGCTAAATCCCGCAAGTCCCGCAAATCCCACGAATCCCGCAAATCCCGTGAAGTCGCGAATCCCGCAAACATCGCGAATCCCGAAAATTCTGCGAATCCCGACAATCCTGCAGTTTTGAACAAATTCTACCGCTGCAACTGTACTCGGAAAGTCTGTACACAACCTGTCAAATCAAACTGGTAGTTTGCTACGCAGCAGTTGATTGACGGTTCCCTTACCGGCGCGTGTTTCCTTGGATGCTAAAAGGATACTAGACTAGCTTGAGGACTGAATAAGTATGCATTTGTTTTCACCAGCCGTCATTATCGTAATGCAATAGTCAAATTAGAATTTGCTTGCTTTAAGTTCCGAAGAAAATCTGATTCCTCTCGCAAACTGAAGTATACTCCGTACGCAAGCATGACTTTGAGAATTTATATAATATCTTTTTAATAACCTCTTCCCTTGATTCTTAATTGTGAATAGAGCAAGACTTCGCCTCTAACACAGTCAAGTACGGTTGAGAATTAATTTGAAAAAGATTCTTGATTTTCCAAAAACAACATGGTTGAGAGGCAGCATACCAAAAATTGATGCAATCTTGGCCTTGCTGAGTGCGCCTTAGGATTAGATAGTACCTTTTTGATCGAATTCAAAACCGCTTTAACACTGCTGAGTGATCTCTAACACTTCTAACTATTCGGTCGTAGTAGATACCCTTCCACATCTCTCAAAAATAGAGAATTGTTTCTTACCTGAAAAGTTTTGGTCTAGGCCTCATAATCAATCTTGAACATAAATAATAATAAAATAAGCATAATCATTGCTCCACGCAGGTATCTTTCGCAACTACTTTTCTTAGTTTGTGAAGGGACAAACTCTGCAAATGCAATTAGGCCTATGTGAGGGCGCAAATTGTGCTCTACAACATCAGCTTGGAAGAGTCTGGGAAGGCTTTGAGTTCATTAGTTGCAGAGCAAATTAGGAGGGTATAAAAATTCCGTGTTTGCTTTTTTGAAAATGCTGGTCTGATTCTTTTACTCCTCCGTTTTCGAGAATAGGTCTTTTTGAATTTTATAGAATGCATTTTGTAGAGATTGATTAGTGCCCTTTAAGACATAAGTTTGAGCTTGTATTTCTCAGTGGTTTCTTCGTAGCACTGTTTATAAAGTTGCCGCCAGTAATTTTGGCGCAACCTGTAGGCAAGACCGACTTACCTGGAATTTGGAAAGTTTGCTTTTGTATATTTCCAGCTATTGCCTCCCGCTTAGCCCTTGCTTGGTTCCTCGCCGGACGGCATGTGGTGGTTACGACACATTTAGGCGTTGTGGTCACAACACATTTGGAAGTTGCTGTGTAAGACATTGTGGTGATCTTTTTTGTCGTAGTCGATATTTGCATAGTGGTCGTGGTTGGAAACAATGTTTGCATACTGGTCGTGATTGGAAACAATGTTTGCATACTGGTCGTGGTTGCCATTGGTGTAGAAGTTGTCGTAGTAGTTGTTGTTGTAGTTGCTATTGAAGATTCCGCTACTGTGTAAATGACATCTCCAGGCTGTGGCACCCTGAAAGTTCTTGGATTAGCAGGACCCGGCACAGGTGCTTACGGGGCAGGCTGGGGGGTAAAAAGTAAAAGGAATGTCGTTTTTGCGGGGTTTTGGGTTAAGCCTCAAGAAAATGTATGAGCCAGCTTGGTATAGTGTACGTAAAAAACTGCCATTTGGTTTGAGTAAAAACAGAAATTCAGAGGTGGTTTCCTTTTGGAAAACCTGAGCAAAGCAGTCAATGTTTTTTTATGAGATCAACAGAGTGAAAAAGCTTCGAAGAGTTGGTCATCTCCAAGCTTCTCAAAACAAGAAACCTATGCAACCCTGTCATCTACAACCAGAAATTACCCCATTATCATTGTTATCATTGTTACTTCAGTCGTTCACAAACATGCGCCCAACTTTCTTTCAACTTTCACATTTACCCACCCCCTCTTTGATACCATTTGTACCTTCTGGAGGCATCGCAAATGCTCTACGACTCCATTCTCTGCAAAATAAATCCTTTTCCGCTCCAACATGTCCTGCAGGCGCGGAAATTTGAAAATGTGTCCCGAATCATGTGAGGGATTGTTTGGGACGAAAAAGGAACGATAAGTCTTCTTCTACATAGTTCCTTATTGCGCATTCAAATACAAATATAATGTTTATGACCTAAGGCGTACTCCCGCGACTCCGTCAAATCGCTACATCCGCGCGACTTGTCGTCTTGCCAGATGTCCACAAATCGACCGTGCGCAAATGTCAAATGTGTAGGCGTGTAATTTCTGTTCTCGTTCTCGCAAAACTATTGAGTCTGGCCCAAGCAAAGTGCGCACGAAAAATTATAAAGAGTCGCTGCAGCACTATATCGCGCAGCGACTGGAATTGCGTGAGGTATGCGTTAGGCCTAAATCCGCAATGGAGAGTTGGAACTATGTAGAAGAGTCTCAAAAAAGTTGGGAACTGAAGGTGTGATGGTTAAGTTAGGAAGAGCCTGAAGTGGCTGACAGAAAACAAACTTGTGCATTTCCATATTTCCAAACACTTTTTCACACTTTCCATATAATCTTAAAGGCAGTGGCTCAGTTAATCCTCAAACTTTGAGTTTTTCGCTTACCTGGGATAATGCGACGCGCCGATTCCGGAAATCCACTACTTATAGCGCGGTGGCGCGGGAACCGGGAATGGCGAAAACCAGCATTTTTCTAACCCCTCATTTGATTTGGACGAGTGGAACGCTCCATGTCATGGTTAGAGACGCAGAATCGTCGAAGGACCCTCATGTTTATAGCATTGCACATGCCGCCTCTGACGGCGTAAGGGATTTGGGAGCTTGTCCGAGCGCGCGTAAGAATGACTTGCGTGCACGGGTTTATGGGCAATTTTCTAGGCAAAGATTGCATGCTGTGCGCTCGAACCTGCTCCATTCTCGTGTTTGGGGTGCAAGCAACTTTCCATACAAAAAATTCCGAGATGTTTGATTTTGCCTTTAATCTATAGCCAAAACTCTACAGGTCAGTCATAGACAAACGCCCCCTTCCGCATAGTTCTAGCCTCCAAAAATTTTGAATGGCGGCAATCCTGCTCGTAAGCGTGCGATAGTGCGCGCATGACGCAGTATGCCGCCATTTCGAAAAATCCGTACATCGTTAGTTTTCATCTAATTATCTCAGCCTAAAATTTTTTGTTTTCTTTCTAATCTATTCGTTATTCCTGTTTCACTTATTCATGAGCGTGTCGTAGTAAATGTTGTATTTTTGTTACGAAGTCAACGGAGTCTTTGTTTCCGAGCCACCTCGTGCCGAGCTGTCCATAAGTAAACTGTGCAGTCCACCATCACCATTCTGTGCATATCGTTTTTTTGTTAAATCAATTTCAAATAAAAAAATGCAAAAAAATCTGCAAAAAAAGAAAACTTGTAAGTGCAACTAATTTTCAGTGCACTAAAGAGACGATCTTCAATCAAGCTATAATTTTCGATAGTAAATCATCAAAGCACTTTTAGACAATAGATTGTTGAAAAAGCTTTGCCATTCTTCTTAAAACATAACATCAAGCGCGAATTTTAGAAGGTTTTCGGAATGTATTCTTAGCGCGTCTTGCGAAATGCGTTATTCGGCTTGAAAAGCAACTACTGACCAGAGAAGAACACTCTAAAAACACTTTCGTTGCGCTGAGAGTTGCAAAACGGCACATTTTAATAAAAATGGACCGGAGAACTTGCAGAAGCTCAATACAAAAATCCGTGCTATACTCATACTCGTCAGGTCAAACAATGTCCGCCTATTACTTGCTTCGGCACGCGTTTTTTCCAAGAAATCTCATTTATCTCAGCACTAAGAAATTGAGGTCTCTACCTGCTTCAGAGCCCAACTGACGTGCTTGTAGAAGAGCATCCATGATCTGCCTAGCCTAAGTGCAAGTTTGTTGGTACACGTTATTGATATCGATCACGTGAGAGCCACCTATGATGAAAATAGAGATCAACAAATTAGCTCAATCTTTATTGGCAGAACTTTCAAACAGCCTGACACAAAGTACCCCTGAGATGTTTCTACACTCGCATTGTCCTAGTCATTCGTCGCGCGCTTTGTTTTTGTCTATTCAACGTACTTTATCTCAACTATGTATTATATTGTTAATCAGCATAATCACTAACTTTTGTACACCAACATGCAACGCCCAAGATTTATGTAAAAAAATGTCCTAGCTAACATGCCTTATAATAAGCCGCTTGATCTGTACTGTGCAGTTTGTCCGTTACGAAAATATAGGGCCTGCAGGATTGCGAGAGTCGGACGTGCGTACGGCCATAGCGTCGAGCACGTCCAATGGTCGTCCCACGACTCAGGTTAACAGGTTCATTCGGTTTACTCCCTATGCTATTGGTCAGTGCATTGATTTGACCAATAGGGAATGAGTGAGTCGGATGAACCGTTAAATAGGACAAGTCTGGCAACTGCCTCAGTGACATCGGACGTGCGCGGCGAAATGGCCGTACGCACGTCCAACTCTCGCGATCCTGCAGGCCTATACAATAAGAAATGATTTGCTATACTTCAAGCATAGGAAATCGCACAACATGCGAAGTTAATTTTTTTCGGCATTTCTTCGTGGTCACTAAACTGAAGAATGATCGAAAACACAACATCTTTCTGCCGCTCTCAGACTGCGACTCTGCGCGAGAGTGGCAATTTTATATATAAAGTTCAATGTCTGTTTGTATGTATGTCTGTCTGTCCTCCGTATGTCTGTCTGTACAGTCGCTTCATTTCATATGATCATGTGTGCACCCGCACACACTGTCCATCTCTGCCGTCCTCATCCTGAATTTGCAATCATAAAAACGCAGGAGACTGACCGATCGCTATCGCCTACATCTTGAGGTGATTAGTACGTAAAAAGGAAAGAAAACATTGAAAATACATAGGAAACACTTATGCGAAGGGTTGCTTCCTCCAAGAATCCAGGATGGGGACGCCAAAGTTGGACGGTGCGTGCAGGGACACACATGATCATATGAAATGAAGCGACTGTATGTACGTATGTTCCGAATAGAAAATTCCATTTCTGAACCGATCCGGGCCAAACTTGGCACACATACACTTCGGGGCCGGGCGGGTGCCACAGGCTACTTTTCGTCATCGATCGATATCGATTTTATCGATTTTTTGCAAAATTTGAGCTACGGGGCTGGGAGTTGGCACAGGGGGGTAAGTGAGCATGGGGATCGAATACAATATTAGTTCTTACAATCGTCAATTACTTTTATCGATTTTATCGCTTTTTTTGCAAGTTTGAGTTAGAGTTGGCACAGGGGTAACTGAGCATGCTGATAACTAACACAACGGGAATGGGGAGTTGGAGTTGGTGTGGAAGTGGGCACAGGGAAAGATTGTACAGAGATAGGGATGGAACTTTTATCATACTGCTTTGACAAGGCCGGGCGGTGCCGGGTAAGCCAGCTAGTATCTAATAAGACTTGTTTTTCGACTGCACTGCTCCGTCATACTTACACTCATTATCCACTGCTTCCATTGTGTACAACTTTACAATTCAGTGTATAATCTCAAAGCACATGCCACAATGACAATTTATTGATTTACAGCTGATGATGGATCAGCTGTAATCCATAATTCATGATCAAAACCAAGGAATGTCTGTTTCCAACACTGTCCAATTCACAAGCCCGTAGCAAAGATCGCTCTAGTCCATTTTTTGACCGCACTTCCTTTCACCCGACTCCTGCACTCCTCACAAAATGCTCAAAATTCGAAGTGGCTAATTGAAGCAAGCTGCATAACAGTATGTGCAGCATAAAACGCTGCTTTCTTATATGCAGAACATTTTTGTTGGTGAAGTTATAAGCCATTGAAGACCATCATTTTGCTAAGAGAAGTGCATGTAAAGAGGAAATCTGGCCGCACAAAGCATGTTCGGCTTAATGTTGAACCAAAATATCCAGCGTTGGACCACAACGTGAGCCAAATGGGCAATGAAAAGCTTGTTTGGACTGGCTTCAACTTCTAACCATTCCCTTGCCAGTGCGAGTTCATAGTACTTGTAGAGAATTTGTTTTTCTATTGAATGAGCTCTTCTAAAATGAAAACCAATTTCGTACACAGAAACAAAGAATATAACAACCATTGAATAACATAAAATAGAATATATATAAAGACATATTTTCAAAAAATATAATTTCATAATAAGCATTTCATTAATTTACACTAAAAAGTTCAAATCATATATAAAAATTGCGGTGCCTCTCCCTCCTCCGGTCGACGAGGCACTTTTTAGACCCCTTTCACTTTTGATGGTCAAAACAAGATCCCCTTCACTTTGAGGGGCCCCCACATCGCACCTATAGACGCGTCATTTCTCGCTACTCTAGATGCCCGTACTCTTCTTTTTCTGTCTGTGTTAAAGAGGTTCTCCTTCCTTGAATATAAGTATAAAGGGTGGCAGTATATTGCCATACAAACTGAGATTTTTTCTCTTTCGTACGATCCCCTGGGCATCCCCAAGAGATCACCCCT